TTTATTCAAATTATGTTCTATTTTGATAAAATGCCTAAGTAAATTTTCAACACATTATATTTATTAATATGTTTAATGTTGAGAATTGTGTTATGTTTTGAAGCCATATATAAATATGTAAAGTTAACAAAGAACCAAGATTAACCAATATAAAAGATTTAATATTAACTTTGAGGCATGCTATGAGGGCATTTGTCGTTCTCCAATATAACATTTCATTTGCAATTTTTTGGGGTTTTTGTTTATAAATAATGATAAGGTTTTAGACATTAGATTTGTGTCATCAGTTGTGTTGTTTTTTATGTGATGCCATATATCTGTCTTGCTATATATTTAGATTTTTGCATGGGTCAAACTTATATAACATTGAATGATTGCAACAATTTTTTATTTTTCATTTATTTTGTTTTAACAAAGTGCCAATCACAGGAAAAATTTCCATTATTTGTGGCTTTTTTATTAGATTATGTTTTACTATTCAATAAAGGGATGTAAAATAAAATATGGCTTTAAACAAACTTTTAATATCTAATATCCAGTTTCACAATAAACAAAAAGATAAGAGAAAGTCCCCTCATATTGTAATTACACTTTTAATTTGTACTGATGAGAGAAAGAAAAACCTTTTAAACTCTGGTTGCAATGACCTTTTGTATGAAGATTAATTCAAAATATATAAAAAATATATATAAAAAAAAGCCCTTGACGAAATGAGGGCAAAAATCTAGTGATCTTAAAAGTAAAATAAAAACAAAAACAAAAAAAGTAAAAGAAAAAAGTGAAGATTATCTTTCCATTGAAAAAAAAATGGTAGTGTACAAATAGAGTTAAACATGTCGCAATAATGCCATCCAAATAGGTGTTAAATAGCATTTCAGGATTTTTGGCACATTTTTTCATTGCAATTGCAACCCACTAAAGCTTCAGTGAAATCTAAAAGCACCTTTAAGCAATGGATTAACCACTAAAACTTCTCTCTCTCTCTCTCTCATCTTTTTCATGTCATAGGTAAGCCTAAAACTAGTTGAATTTTTCATATTTTGTTTGCTTCACTTATATAAAAATGATTTGCATTAACTTTTTTTTAATAAAATTGATGCAAAAGGCAAATGTAGTATGTTTAAATACTCATTGATTCTTATATTATACATTTTTTTTATCAATTTGGTATCTAAAAAACTAAATGTTATAATTAGATACTAGTATTTTTGTTTCATCTACTTTGATACTTCTAATTAATATTGTTAGTTAACCTACTAACGTAGCATGATTATCCAATAAGTTGTTGACATGTCTCAAAAATTTATTCATTGTCATATCATCAATTGTCATGTTAATAAAATTAAAAAATTCAAAATTCAAAAAAATTAAAAATAGAAAAAATCCTAAACAATTAAAAGTATAAAGAAAAAAATTTCGAAAATTTTTTAAATTTTACAAAAAATCTAAAAAATTTACAAAATTTAAAAAAATTAAATTAAAAAATCTTTAAAATTTCTAAAAATTTTATAAAAATAAAAAAGTAATATAAAAAATCAAAAATCAAAAAAAAAAAACTCAAAAAATATTAAAAATATTAAAAATTAAAATCTAAAATTTTTTGAAATATTTAAATAAATTTGGAAAATTAAAATATCTTAAAATTTTGAAAAAAAAATGAAAATTTCAAATATCATCTGTTTAATTTTTTGGGAAGATTTTAATGTTCAAAATTTTTTGAAATGTTAAAGATTTTTAATTCTTTAAATATTTTTGAAATTTTAAGATTTTTAAAATTTTTTTCTTTATTTTTTGAATTTTTTATATTTTAGATTTTTTTATGGTTTCAAAATTTTCTCTTTTTGTCAAATTTTGAAATTGTTTTCTTTTTTCATAATTTATTTATTTTTTGAAATTTTTTAGTATTTAGGGTAATTTTTTGAAATTTTAATTTTTCATAATTTTTTATGTTTTGCATTTTCATATTTATTGGTTTTTTTTAATTTTCAATTTTTGTCAATTTTTTTTATGTTTTTGTGAATTTTTTGAATTTTATGAAATTTTTATTTGTTATTAAAAATTTAATATTCTTGTATTTTTTGTCAATTGTTCAAAATTTTTAGATTTTTTGAATTTTTCATAACTATTTGGAATTTTTTATAATTTCTTTAAAATTTTTTAGTTTTTCTTAATTTTTTAGATTTTTTTAGATTTTTTAAAATTTTATTTTGATATTGACGTGACAATTGATGATGTGACATTTATTAAATTTTTTGACACGAATCAATATTTTTTTAATATTTATGTCATGTCAATAAGTTGATTGACAGCATTAGTTTAAGGTACCCAACTTTATAAAATAATACCTAATCTAACCTGACCCAATATTAAAATGTTATTTTTTCATATTCAATCCGACCTGACCCACATATATATAAAATTACAAATTACCCGTCTTGATCAGAAATTAATTTAATAAAATATTTATAAAATATTATTTTTAATATAAATTATATCTTAATTATACATAATATAGTATTTTTATTAAGTTAATATCTTGAATTAAGATACTGCATAATAATTTTATTAATATGATACATATATATAAATATAAAATTAAATAAATAATAAAAGATATTTTTTATATATATCAGGTTGATTTGAGATGAATTTACCTAAAATTTAACTCGACCACAACTTTATTTCAAAAAAACTTGACTAAACTCGATTTAGAACCCTATTTAAAAAAAAAAAAAACTTTACAAGATAGGGTTGGGTCAGAACCCAAGAAATTCTGGTATTATTGCCAACTTTAAAAATGAATGACAAAATGCCAATTAAAGTACTTAATTAAAAATTTTACTTTTTTAGATACTAAACTAATAAAAAATATATAATGCATGTACCATTTTTGTATTTAACTCAATATAATACTAATTCAAAGCACCAAAAGAAAAAAAAAAGACTACTTATTCAATTTTCTTATTAATTATCAAAGTTCTTTTTCTATTTTTGATTTTAGCAAACTTTGTTGCTTTCTTTTTAGAGTAAAGCATTAGATCGATTCGATTAATTTAGTTGTAAATTTTCGAACATCAATTTAATCGACATAATTTATAAAAAATCAAATCAACTTAAGTCGTCGGTTATGTTTGTTTATCTCGGTTTTACCATATCGTTTACCAATATTCAATAATAAACATGTTAAAATAGAACCTTACAACAGAACCTAATGCATTACAATAATCAACAATCATATAAACTCAAACAAAGCAAAACTTTACAATAGAATCTTACAATCAATGTTTTATATTAGAATAGCTCTGAAGTAGGATAAACAATACGTACAAGTAAAATGAAACAAATAAAAATAAATAATACAACAAAATTAGTTGTTTGGTAGTTTGGGTCATTGACCTTTTTAATGGTGAGCAACCTTCAATCCTTCACTGATGTAGGACTTGCTGGTGGAGCCGTGGAGGAAGAAAACCGAACCTATAGCCATCAGTCAATAGTGGTTGAGTTGATTTGTGATTGTTAATGGCTAAGCTGTGATTTAGAGAAACAGAGAAAGAGAAGAAATAGTCGAAACTCAGAAAAGGAAAGAATGAAATGCTAGCTAGTGGTGGGTTGGTCAATGGTCACTGGTGGGGAAACTTAGTGGTTGCTGGCTACTGAGTGCCAACTATAAGAGGAATCAAGAGATCTGTAAGATGGTGAGGGTGTGAGTATGAGGCTGTGACAAACACAGTAAATGACAGAAAAAAGGTTAGGATTTCATTTTATAAAATGGAGTAAAACTGTAAAAGATTAAAAAATATTAATAATATATTTATTTAATTAATTTGTGTAATTTGGTTTTCTCGATCAATTCGAGGTTCAAAATTCACCATCGACAACTGATTAACAAAACTATTAAAATCGAAATTGAAATCGATATATGCCCCAAAATTGAAAAAATCGACTCGAGTTTATCAAATATATACGATTTTGTCAATTCAGTCAGTTTCAACCAACAAATACTTTGCCCTATCTCTTTCATATTATTTTTTTACTTGACTAAATTTATTCTAATTTAAATCTTATCCTAACAAATTTAATTTTTTTACAAAAAATTATAACTTAAAAATATAATAAAATTATAAATACCAAAATTGAATTTCAAATTTACATAATACGACTTATTAAGATTCATGAATGTTGAATTTACCGACATTATTTCTATTCTATCATGTAAAACAGCAAAAGAAGAGCGAAGAAAAAAAAGAAACTTAATCAATGCTAGTTTGCTATCAATTTAGAAAGGCGATTGATTATATCTTGTCCAAATTTTAAATGGAGACGTACCAATCCCATGTATATTTATAGAGGTGAGAAAAAAATTGAAAAATTGAAAAATTTATTTAAAGTTATAATGTATTGTTCAATTCGAATCAATTTTTTAAATTCGATTTAGATTAAATTTAAGTATTAAATATATATATATATTATGTTTGGATCAAATTTTAAATCAAATAATAATGAAAAAAATAAAAAAAATCAAATCGAATCAAATTATATATATTTTAAATTTTTATAAAATAAAAATAATAATTTATATTAAAATATATTAAAATATATTAAAATTTTATATTAAAATAATATATATAAATTAATAATCAATAAATCTAACTGAACTAAATCACATCAATAAAATTTAAATTAATTTAATTTGAATAGAATAAATATTTAATTCAAATTTAACTTAAAATTTAAATTTTTATAATATTATAAAATATTAAAAAAATTCAACCAAATTCGATTCAACGTTGGCGGTTATCACCCTTATCCATCTGCACCAACGCCACCTAATCCGTAAAATATATTTTGTCTTGTAAAAAACATAAAATGCGATTGCGAGTTGCTGCCTTCCATGCTTCTGAAACGCAGCGTTTCGTAGTTAAAATAATCCATCTTATTTATTTTCAACTGACTAATCAAATAAAGCCACGTAAGCACTTAACTAAAAAAACCTTTAAAATTTCACTCAACGAGGAAGAAGAAGGGAAAATGGAAACCAACCCATACCTTACCACCATCGTCGACGCAAAAGGAGAAGGCTTTACAGAGAGAAAATTGTATTTTTGACGAGTGATTAATTAAACGGTGAGGAGATGAGAATCTGAAAGCTTCCTCTCATACGCAAAAACAAGGACGCTTTAGTCGATTAAATTCGGTGGTTATGGCGGAGCCATCGTCGTCTTTATCGGCATCCAAGGACGACCTCATTCAGTTAATCAAGCGCCTCGGAACTTATCTCTCCGGCAACATATCCAACCTCTTTTCGATCTCTGTCCAGAAACTGGTCCTTTTCTTTCAATCATAAATCCTCCTTCTCTTTCTTTTTTTTTTTTGGCGGATCTGACGTGCCTTTTCCTTGCTAAATTGCGAAATCCTATTTTTTGTCTACTATTTAGTTATTTGATTTAGGTATTTACTGGTGATTATAGCGGAATATTGATTTGGTCACACTAGCTTTTGGGTGGGAGATTTAATCTTATTGCAGCTTTAAATTTCTCATATTTAAGATAAATTCTCCTAGTGATTTACTGTATGATAAATTGTTACGGACTAGAAATGGTGTTAATTCGTCTCGAATCGAATGCTACTTCTTTTTTACCTAATTGATTTTTGAGCTATAGTGTGAAAATGCAATATTGAGGCAAAAACCTTCTCAAATCCGTAGTACTGGCATGATAATTGTTTTTGAGGCCACCAGGCATGTAGAACTGCTAATACTTTCATCCTTCATTTTCCTTTCGACCTAGACAAGCTATTGTGTTGTTTTGGCGTGTAACTGAAATGTGCAATGTTTTCAATAATAATGTATATGATTCTTACCACGTCCCTACTGGCATCAGGATCCACGATCTGTTGGGGCTATTGCAGGTCTTGCTGTTGCAATAATCTTTACCTATAGGTTGATGAGATCACCTGCGGCACCTCCAAGAAGGCAACCAAAACTTCAAGCTCCAAGAACTAGAAACTCTGCTCTCAGTACCCTGTCAAATCAAACATTGATGCCTTCTGGAGTTAATTCATCTTCAGATGATTTAAGAGCACAAAATGTTGTTGATGAGCTTTTCCAGCCAGTAAAGGTACACATTTTTCATTTCTCCAACATTTTGATATGTTATGTAGTCTATTAGCTTGGTTTGTTTTGTAATTCGCATCTTTCTTTTCCTTCTTTTGCAGCCAACGTTGGGGCAAACAGTTAGGCAGAAATTGAGTGAAGGTAGAAAGGTAATTTACAGATACTCCTAACTACAGTAAGCGAAATGTTTGGTTTTAATTTTATTTGTGTCTATTGTTTTCTGGAAATAGGATTATTAGTTGAACTAATGATTAATAATTGATGCTCACAAAAGGGGAAAACATTTTACTTGTAGAAATGGGATTCTTTGGAAGACTGTGTACCCATTCTTTCTTAATGTGATTGTAGGTGTCACTTTAATCTAAGGTTTGCTTGAAAATTTTCAGTTTATATGCTTGTAGTTAGGTAAACTGCCTGGCTAACTGAACAGCTTTTATGATCCCTCTCATGTAAACCTTGGATCCTGTTTGAGGGGTTTTCTCTTCTGAGTATTATGTTTTATGGGAGTCTTGTTGCTGTCAATTGTTTAAATGGTCCAATCACCATATTGGGTTGTTCTTTGGATGCTTTATCAGAATAAATTGCTAAAATAAATGTAAAAATAATACCAAAATCCAGTATAATCAATATAATCTCTACTTTCGATCAATTTGTGCTAGTAATTATTTTAATTGAATTGCTATCACAGCTTCATGCTATTGTAAATTTAACTTCTATAAATCTGCCTGCACCTTAAATGTGCACTGAAGTCTTATACAACATGTCTTGGTTATTATTGAGAGCCATTACCTGGTATTGGTCATAACAAGCTACCATACTTATGCTAGTGTCAGAATCACATGAATTGGTTCTGGCACTATTACTTGAGACTCTGCATTGGAATGCATGGACCATTGACCATGGTCAATTAACTTCTCACTTAAATACTAGTAACTTCAACTGAATTTTGCCAGAAGCAACATAACCTCTTAGTTTAACTCCCAGGTTTTCATGCATAATTCTGATAAGTTTGGGGACATGTTGGTATTTAATGCTTATAAAGTCATTGTTCAGAGCCCGTTTTTGGTCTTCCTCCAACTTTAATGCTTCAATGACTTATTGGCGTAGGTAACATGTCGTGTACTTGGAGTGATCCTTGAGGAAAGCAGTCCAGAGGAGTTGAAGGTGGGGAATGTTTTCTGTGAGCTTTTTTATTTGTAAACGTTATCTGCTAATAATTAAAATTTGTTTCATTCTGGATAGAAACAAGCAACTGTAAAGTCCTCTGTGTTGGATGTGCTATTGGAGATTTCCAAGTTTTGTGATCTTTATCTCATGGAGACAGTTATTGATGATGAAAGTGAAGTGAGTTCAAACCTAGTTCTATAGTATTGTTTGTCAATGCTTTTTTTGTGTTGAATGTGTAATATTCCTCCTTATTGTTGCATGCAATGGTACTTCTTTATCATGGTTATGCTTGTATTAGGCTACTAGCATATTTTTATTTCATGTGCTTTCCCGACTAACATTACGAACTGTTTGTCATCAGAAAAATGTTCTTCTGGCCTTGGAAAATGCAGGGATTTTCACCTCCGGTGGTTTGGTAAAGGACAAGGTAAATAATTGTGCCAATTTTTATCATATGTAATTTTTGCTTAGATATCTCAAATTGAAATGATTCTCCAGTCAGGGACATTATTTCTGGACTGTAAATTCTGTTGCATGCTATAAAATAGTATAATGTAAATTGGTTGATTATCCGTTCTTTTTTAATTTCAGAATATTGATGTTCTATCCTCTTGTTTTTGTTCATATATTAAATATTTACTTTGCCTGAAATGAATCTGCAGGTTCTTTTTTGTAGCACAGAGAATGGGCGGACATCTTTTGTTCGGCAACTAGAACCAGATTGGCACATTGACACAAATCCTGAAATAGTTTCTCAGTTAGCTGTATAATTTCATTACTTGCCATAATCCTCGAGATAGTTCTTTCACAGCAGCATTTAAAATGTCTGGTATTAGATTCTAAGTCATATTCTCGTCACAATGCCTATGTTTTTGAGATTTATTTTTTGTCTTTGCAGAGGTTCATCAAATATCAGCTTCACGTTTCTCCTGTCAGACCTGAACGGACTGCGGCTAATGTCTTCAGTTCTCCATCCTTGGAACACTTCTTTGGATGTGTTTGACACTTGAGCTGGTAAAAAGATGCAAAGATGTTTTAAAGTTGTTCTTTACTCCCCTTTGGTCTCTATGTACGAGCGACCCCTTGTGCGGTTGTGCTAATGTCGGTTTTTAGGATAAAAGACAAGATTTATTTGTCTGAAATTTGTGAAATAGGGTTCACATTCGAACCCCATGCAACAATTAATGATTGTAATCTTTGTTACTCGTAGGATATGCAATCATAAAAAATAACTTTGTTGCTCCACTTTCATTTTTTCTAGTCATATTGTTTTCATTTTTTTTTTAAATTATAAAACAGCTTTTAATGAAATATTCTACGACATATATCCTACCTTCTATATTTTGATCAAATTTACTTCAATATTAGTTCATTGATAAATTATTTCAAAATTAAAAGCATAGTGAATAATAAATTTGAATCTGTAAATGATAAGTTTATACTTTTATCACATTTTACTCCTTTTTAAATAGGGTTTGAATTTTGATGGTAAAAAGAGTTTGAAATCTCTTTTTCAAATTAAAAAAATTGCAAGTTCAGTGTTTGATTTTATTTAAATGTTTTCACAATTGGACAATTAAAACATTAGATTATGGAATTCTATGCTGCAATTTTTTCCTAATATTACATACCACATATTTTTATAATAATGATATCAAAATTATTATTAATGCTTTTTTTAATAAGTATTAAAAGTATTTTTACTAAAAACATTAAAAAGAGTTTGTAAACTGAAAATTAAATTGAAATAATAACTGGTGAATTTCTCTCTAGTTTTTTCTCGATAATGTTTTGGCCTAAAGGGAAATTAAAATCTTTATTGTTTGCAAAGTTCAAAAAAAAATTTTGAAATTGAATTAGTTCCGTTTGGTTTAGGAAAAATAATTTTTGAAAAATATTTATATTTTTTGAATTTAAAGATATTTTTTGTTATTTGGATAAGTTAATAAAAAATATTATTGTTTTTAAAAAAATTTATTTTTTTTTTAAAATATTAATATAACTATTAAAATATTAAAAATGTTTATTATTAAAGTATATTGAAATTATTAATATTCAAAAATAATTATATTTTGATAATAATATTTAATATTAAAATATTATGTTAATATAAAAAATACTTAAAATAAAATAATTTATTATTTTTATATTATTTATTAATATATTATATTAATAGTATATTATTTATTAATATATTATAATATTATTTATGTTAAAAAAATATTGATAAATAATCCTGCTTGTAAATAATTTTGTTTTGAAAAATATTTTTTTAATTCTTAAGATCATTTTTTAAAAAATAATTTTATTTTTCATTGATTAATAAATTATTTTTTGTTGATTAATTGATTTTTTACTAAATAAATATTTAAAAATATCAAAATTATTTTTTAAAATTATTTTTCGCGAAACAATCAAAAGCTTAAAATATCAACTTGAACCCGTTTACGCGTGGCAGTCTGACAGTAATTGTGCCTCACCTTCAATATGCCCGAACTTGCAACACTCAAATTCTACAAACCAAATTTCTCTCGCTAAAGATCCCATAACCAGAATCGTTTATATGAGTCGCTTGACTCGCCTACTCACCGGCGTCAGCTCGTCTGAGTCACTTCTTTCTCCCTTACTCCAAGTATCATTCAATAAATTCCCTCCTCGTTTTCCCCAAACAATCTCGCCTTTTCCCTGTTTCAAACAATTCACGCCCCTCAAATCCCTAGAATTTACCACTTTTTCCACAGCCACAAACCGTCCCAATTACAAACCAAAACTGCTGACAATGGAGTCGAAATGGATGGAATCGGATCCCCCGAGCGGCGAGGATTTTGTGCACATCGAAAACCCTAACCCTAATGTCGTGGAAGCATTAAGCGATAGCATCGTGAAAGTTGAAGAAGAAGAAGACGAAGAAGATATGCAAAACGAGGATTGCGATGACAACAGTGACGACGACGTTTCGAGGAATGAAAGATCTGATTCTTCGGAGAGAAGGAAGGTGGAGCTCCCCGAGGAGCTTTCTAGGAGCGTTATGGTTCTGACGTGCGAGTCTTCTGCTGAGGGTGGCATTTGCGAGGTGTACTTGGTTGGGACTGCGCATGTCTCTCAGGCTCGTGCTGGTTTTGGTTTCTGTTTGGTTAACGAGAAAATGTTGGAAATTGATATAATTAAAATTCAGGATTTTTTTTTTTCTTTTTTATTTTTCGAGCTTAAAGAATATTATCTTTAAATTAACCAAAGATTGTCAGCGAGTTCTTACATAGGCAATGATCTTGCAGAAGGGGATTTATATTTACTTACTGTGGTTTTGCAGGAATCGTGCAGAGAAGTTGAAGCTGTAATCAGTTATTTGAAACCACAGGTGCTTCTCTTCTGAAACTAACTAACACTTGATTCTTGGATGGATCATTAGCAGGTTACCTTTCTGCTTTCATATTGTTTGAGGGCCTGTAATTCACCTCAGCAATTCACTTGAACTTTGAAGCTCATATGCCTTTTTTATTTGTTTTCCTACAGGTTGTTTTCTTGGAGTTATGCTCAAGTCGAGTTGCGGTGCTTAGTCCCCAAAATTTAAAGGTTTGCTCTTAGATATTGTTCTTTCTTTAGTATGTTCTGCTCTTCGAGAAAGGATTCACATGATGCTTCAGGGTATTGAAAATTGAAGAAATATTTTACGCTACCTTGTTTTCTAGTTTGCTGCTTTCTTTTTGATCTTCTTGTTTATTCTCTAATTATCTTTCCATGACATGGTTTTGACAATTAGGCTTTTGATTTGATTGTATAACTGTTTGGCTGGCGTTGCATCATTTATAGGCTTTAATATTCAGATGCTAAATTTTCATCTTCTAACATAAATCTACCAGGTGCCAACCATGGGAGAAATGGTAGATATGTGGAAAAAAAATCATAACATGTTTGGTATACTTTACAGTTGGTTTCTTGCCAAGGTACATCTCTCTTAATTGTACCTTTTATCCCAAGTTCACCATGGGTATTGCTGTTTTCCCTTGTCAAGTAAGCAAATTTATGAGTCCTAAATCATTCCTCCATACTGATAGGTTGCTAGTAGGCTTGAGGTTTTCCCTGGGTCTGAGTTTCGTGTTGCATTTGAAGAAGCAATGAAGTATGGTGGTAAGGTGATTCTTGGTGATCGACCTGTGCAGGTAAGATATTTCACTGGTTGAGGAGTGTGGTTACTTCCAAAAAAGCATTATTGTCTACAGTTGTTGGAAAAACTAAAATTTATGTACAACAATCTAGTGATTGTTCAGGGTAAAATTGTTGACAAGGTGGTCATGTTTTTTTAATTATCTTTGTCAATGAAATAATGAAGTTGTACCAGTGGTTTCTCAACCTAATTATTTTTATGAAACCCTAAAACACCTACTGTTGGTCGCATTATAATGTGCATAAGCCTTGCAGCACTGCTGAATATGGTGCCTTGCTACGATACTATAAGTGGCAGTGCTATTGTTTTCTCAACATTTCAGACTATGGTAGCATTTTATGTTATTTTAATTTTAATTTTTAATCTTGATCCTGCAAGTAGTCTCAAAGATTTGATTGGATGAAACAGATTACATTGCACAGAACCTGGGGAAAAATGCCACTTTGGCATAAGACAAAATTACTGTATTCCTTACTTTTTCAAGCTGTCTTCTTGCCAAGCCCTGAAGATCTTAACAAAATGGTGAACTTTCTTATTGTCTTGTTTCATCATCAGTCAATTTGCTTTCTTTACATTTTCATATTTAAAAAAAAAAAAAGGCAAAAGGGTCAAAAAAGCTCTTAAATAAAAATCAATAATCATTTAAGCTTTTGATATTTTATTGCAATCAATCAAGCTTCGAATCTTCTATTTTGAATCGGTTGAATCCTTAAACATTCATTTTCACCAAATTGAACCTTTAAACATTTATTTTCACCCAATTAAGCCCTCAATTGGATGGAAACAGTTAATCATTTTTCATCTAATAAGGGCTCAATTGGTAAGATTAGAAAAGACAAAATCAGAAATGAAGAGATTTGTGAAAAATTAGGGGTAGTTTGAATTAAAGAAAAGAAGAGAGAGGACCATTTGAGATGGTTTGGACATGTGAAACATAAGCCTCTGTGTACACTAGTTAGGAAAATGGGCTTCTAGATCTAGGAGAAATTAAAACTTCTAGAGCTAGAGGTAGACCACGAAAGGCATGGAAGGGAGTAATAAGAAATAATATGAGGGTTAAGGAAGTGGATGAAAATGTTGTTTTTATAGAAATGAGTGGCACAAGAAGATTCAAAACTACAACCTAATATGATTTTTTTTTTTTTTTACCTTTCATACAACCGACCCCAAAGTTATGGAATATAAGGTTTAGTTTGTTGTTCTTGTTGTTGTTGTAAGGGCTCAATTGGTGAAACTAGATGTTTGAGAGTTTAATTGATTGCAAAAAAAATGATAGGGACTTAGATGATTATTGAATTTAAGTTTGGGGTTTTTTTGACTTTTTTGCCTTTAAAAAAATCCTTATGATGCTAAAATGTATTGTATATTCAGCTGAAGGACATGGATGATGTTGACATGCTGACTCTTGTGATTCAAGAAATGAGCAAGGAATTCCCAACTCTAATGGAAACTCTTGTGCATGAGCGAGACCAGTTAGTATTCTTTTGCTCCTTTAAATGCTTATTAGAATTTAGTATATTGGACACTCTCTTGACTGCAAAACTAAATTGTACGGTTTCGTTCTCTCTTGAAGATTTATAACTATTTATGATTTAGGTCTGCAGGTGTATTTTTGTTCTTAGCCGCTTGATATTTGTTGCACAAATAAGTATTGAGCCTTTTTATTGTTTGTTTGATGCACATATTTTATACTTGTATTAATTTGTATGGTTAATTCACTAAACCTGCATAAACATTCAGGTTTATGTCCTCCACATTACTAAGAATTGCGAGCGAGCATAGTTCAGTTGCTGCAGTCGTTGGTAAGGGGCACTTGCAAGGAATTAGGAAGCATTGGAAGCAGCCTGTTTCGATAAATGATCTCATGACAGTTCCGTCAAAGAAACCGACAGTTTTTACCGGCAAAATTCTGACATCCCTGGGCATTGCCGCCGGGGTGGCTATCATTTCGGGCATCTATCTTGCAACCAAGAAATAATCCACTAGTAACATTTTTGATTGAGCAAACTCAAAAGATTGCAGTCTTCATAGATTTTGGCGAAAAAGCTTCCCCAAGATTCTTATTGAATCTTGATGCAACCAATAACCATTTTCTTTCCTTTTAAAAATTGGGCCTAACTTTTGACAAAAACAAATACTTTACATGATTTTTTTTTCTAGAAATTAGTTGTAATTGAATAAATTGTGTTAAAAATATTTTTATCATTTTGTGTCCTTGTTTTTAACTCGTAAATTTCGCTTTTGGTTTTTCATTTTATTATTACTAACAACTGTTTTTCTTTGAGAATTTATAACACTTATTAATTATGTATTAAAATTTTTGTAGTTTAGTTTTAAAATTTTGTTTATTAAAGTTTTATTTGGTATTTAGGATGAAAATGGTTAAATTACAAAATAAAATAGTTATGAAATTTAATCATTGTATTAACAAAGTTTTCATCTTATTTTATTTTTTCATTGCTTTACCAAACAAAATCTTAGAGTAGTGGTTTTAAAATAAATTGTCAAGTGCATTTTTTAATTATATTAATTATTTAAGTATAATATATTTTAAAGAGTAATGTGTTGATTTTTTAATTTTGAAGTTTAAAAATTTTGTGGTTTATGAGCTAAATTTTTAATTAAAATTACCGTTTTGGTACCAAACTCCAGCTGAACTACTGAATGAGCCTAGTGCCATGAGGTTGTACGATGCGCACAACCTTTCGACCTTTTTGTGGACTATAACATAGCTAACAGGATCTAAGAAAGCCCAAAATCCCGAAACATTGTCAAGAATGTTTCTAACAAACCCAACAACAGCCCAGTAGCCATTAACCTACGACAAAGAATAAAAAATATAAAAGGAAAGACAGAAAGTTGGATCCTAGTGAAAAAAAAAAAGGAAAAAAGAAAAATCTCGGTTTCTCAAATCAATTCACTTTCCGTTTTCTTCAAGCCGAATTTCGTGCTATTTGAACGGGTCTTACTTATCTTTGAGAAATTATAATCATATTTTTTTATAGTGAAAAAAATTACTAACATAATATATGATAAAAATTTTGATTAGCATGTATTAAGTAGTTTAAACAATTTTTATATAGAGATTTAAATGTTAAAATTGGATATAAATTTTTTAATTATTTAGATATTTAATGACAATGAAATTTATAAGATGTTAGTCAATCTTCATCAATATCTAATACTTAAATTTTGGTAATGTACGAAATGATATTGGATTGTCATAAAAAGCTCTTTGTTTTCACTTTATTTTTTCTATTTTTAGCTATTTTATTTTATTTGTTGTTAGTTTTTTTTCCTTTTTTTTGCAAAATTTTTATGTATAATAAATATTTTTATAGATTTTATTTTCTTAGAAATGTAACCCATTTTACACTAATCTTTCTTTTTTTTTAATTTACTTTTTAGAGATAAAATTTGTATTTATAAATAATTAAAATGTAATTTATGCATTCTTTCATTTATTATATAAATTCTGTTTATTTTTATTTTTAATTTAGAAAATTTGTGAAAAACATTCAATGAAGGTGTCCATATATCACTTCAGTTTTTGTGTTTTTTTAATTACATAAATTTTACAATAAAATGACCTTATATTTTTAAGATTTTAATTTTTTTTGTTTATAGGATTCACTTGATAGTAACAATATGCCAGATCTTTTTCTTTTTTCTTTTTTCATTTTTATGTATTTAATAAATAATTATTTAAAATTTATCTTTTGGTAACTTAATATTAAGGGTGTTGTCTAAGTCATTTAATTTTTTTTCTCTCTTTACATTTTTTTAATTTTTTTATTTGATTAATATTTTAAAATTTTTTGCCTCAATTTAGAAAAGAGGATATGTTAGTAGATGTAAGGCATCCAGCCATTGCAGGGGATCTACCGCTATCTTGCATGAAAAAAAAAAAAAATCACCGTCTTTTTCTTTTACACTGAATAGACTCTTTCCCATTTTCATCTCTTCTAGTTTTACCCACTGTATTACTTTCCTTGTAATTTAGTTCAAGCGTAGAACGGTAGAAGGCAGCACGTAATCAATTCTCCTTCTACTTCCTTTTTTACTCGAGGAAAATGCTCAAAATTCTCAATTTAACTCCCTCACGGATCAAACATCTTTTAATATTTTCCTTTTTTTTTTTTTCCATTTTTCTCCTTTTCCATCACTGCTCCATTCCCTTCTCCCACGCGCCGCTATAACCTCCTCTTCTCCATTGCTTCCTGTTCAAACTCTATCGCCTCCGGTACTCTCCACGCGACACCCGCGCCAACGCCTTCCTCCACCAAATCCGTATCCTCTGTTACTTTTCTTAGGACCTTAATGGCTTCACACCTTCAAGGGCGGTTTCCCTTCAGCTATGCATGTGGCACGTGTAGCCAAAAAGCTTCTGACCGCGACGAAACGGGGATTAGGTGGTTCATATTCGGGATGACGATACTGTTTTTGTCATCGACAATTTGGTAAGAGCGCTTTCAAAAGACCAAAAACGATACTACATTGGGAGCAATTCGGAGAGTTACGAGCCAAATTTGAAATACTCTTTCGACATGGCGTTTGGCAGGGGAGGGTTCGCTGGCCTTACTTCTTGGGTACGGTCTTAGGCAAGGTTGTGGACTCTTTCGTGATGAGGTATGGTCACTTGTACGGAACCGATGCTAGGGTTTGGTCCTTTTTAGGTGAGCTTAGCGTAGGTTTGATTAAAACATTTTAAAAATATTTAAGACGTTGATCTTCACATTTTTATTAAACATTTAAAAAATATATGGTTATATTTTATTTTAAAATAAATTCTCATGAGTTTATTTACATAAAATAAAAAAATTAAATATTTTATTTTATTTTCTACTAAAATAATAAAAATTAAAGATTTAATTTCATTTTATACTAAAATTTGATTACATGTTTAGATATGAAGCTAATTGTTTTTCATTTGGATTTTAAGGTAAATTTGGCATGCCAGTTAATATTAATATTTGGTGGCTAACAATATTCTTTCAAAATTTGTATATGTAATTATTAAAAGCTAATATCTTTGTTACTTTGCTTTTGGATGTTAAGGTAATATATTTTGGAAATTAGTACATGTAATTAGAGCATCCAAAATTGAACCAATTTTGAAAAGTTTGTCTCATTTGTTCAAACCCAAATTGGACTTATCTGATTTAATAAAAAAATTCAATAAAATAAACTTTACCCAACCTAAATTTAAATTGATCTAAATTAAAATTAATTAAAATTTAACTTTATTTATATTTGAATTGATCCAAGTTTCAAATAACTTGAATCTAAATTAATTCAAATTTAAAATGGACGAAATACTTAAATGATTAAAAATTTAATTGAGTATAATTTTATTTTTTAAAATTATTAATGCAGTTAAAAATAATAAATATAATATAAATTATTAATTTTTTGATATCTCGAGTGTAGCATAATTTTATATTAACAATCAGAATTTAATTAATCCGATTCAAAATAATTAAAATTTTTGAATTCAAAATAATCAAAAAAAAAATTTATATGAAATGAGTCGACTTTAAATAATCAATCCAAACCTAACTCAGCCTAGTTAATAAAAAAATGGCCGCTAACGTCACCTAGCTCCTATTACTACTTATTAAACAAAGCCAAATGTTAATCATTTAAATAGCCATGTGGACCCCTGAGGACCTGAGGTTTTGGGTCCAGTCTTTCCGTTCCAGCTGGCTTGAACCTCTTCGAGCACATTCTTAGTTTGTTGTAGTTCAACGAATCAGTGATTTTTACGGAAACAGCACTGGATTTTCAGCTAAACTAGTCGTCATTTTATTTTTCTTAGGAAAAAATTGTTCTTTTAACATTTTAAAAAAATAGTATATATTTGTTTAATACCAGTATCTTAACCGATTGGAAAGGGTGTCCCCAAGTCCCAATCAATCCTAGTTTATTAAGACAAACTATTTTCGGCCACATTAGTCAATTGTCAACCTGAGCAAGTATTTGGGAAGGGTTTAGTCTCTGGTGAGCCCACCAACCGAGCAATTCTCATTTTGCGAAAAGGATTGAACTTCTTTGTCTTTGGCGGCCTAACCCTTTGTTTTTTCTTCTTTGCTCTTTCTCATAGTGCCAAATAACTAACTTGAACCGTCAAATTAATGTATGTTCCATATGCACGCCGTTGATTAAGGCTTCATTGGGATGACCGGTGTGAGTTACTAAACGAAAGGCATAAACATAAAAGAAACCTATGTGTCTATATACCTTAGGGTGAAGGTCACACACTTTTTTCAAGGGCCAAGATCAGAATCCTTCCCGTATCTCAACTTATTTCTTCTTCTTTTCTTCCGTCATTATTGGAGATGCAGCTTTTTCAGTTGCTCTCCAAAATCCAATCTTCTTCCCATCTGCTAAACTTCGTTTTGGTCTCATCTTCTGTTTGTGTCACCTATCTTCTTGCATCCATATTGTTAGTCCACAACTCAAAGCCGCCTATTCATGTATATTCCTCCTCCCAAGATGCCTATGCACCAACTACCATGGAGCATATAGTGTTTGGGATAGCTTCAAACCAGAATTCATGGGCAAAGAGAAAGGAGTATGTTAAGCTATGGTGGAAGCCTCGTCAAATGCGTGGATGTGTGTTCCTTGAAAGCATGCCCCCTAATGTAACTTCAAGGGAAAATAATAGTACTCTGCCTCCAATATGTATCTCGGAGGACACTTCAAGGTTTCATTACACTTACAGAGGTGGTCTCCGGTCAGCAATTCGCGTGGCACGCGTAGTTGTAGAGACCGTTGCCCTTAATTATTCAAACGTACGGTGGTACATTTTTGGGGATGATGACACCGTTTTCTTTCCAGAGAATTTGGCAAAGACACTTTCCAAATATGATCATCGGCTTTGGTACTATATCGGGGCTGGCTCGGAGGTTTATGAACAGAACAGGTTTTTCGGATTTGGAATGGCATTTGGTGGAGCAGGTTTTGCTATAAGTTATCCTCTGGCTAAAGTTTTGGCAAAAGTTTTTGATTCCTGTATAGAACGCTATCCTCATCTCTATGGAAGTGATTCCAGGGTCTACTCTTGCATGACAGAGCTTGGTGTAGGATTGACACGCGAGCCAGGCTTTCACCAGGTACCAGTTGGTTAAATTGTAAAAGTTGTAATCATCTTATTAGCAGTAATAATTAGAATGAAAGTTTGTGCAAATTTATTATGTTTCTTAAATTCTTTTTTGGTTATGTTGAATTTCAACCAGTTTGATGTCCGGGGTAATGCATTTGGTTTGTTGGCTGCCCATCCATTGACACCCTTGGTATCACTCCATCACATAGATCACGTGGACCCAATCTTCCCAAACATGACTGCTATTAATGCTATGGAACATTTACTTGATGCAGCAAATGTTGATTCTGAAAGACTTTTGCAACATACAGTATGCTATGATCGTTGGTTTTCATGGACGATTTCGATTTCATGGGGTTATGCTGTTCAAGTATACAGCAAACACATATATTTACCAGATGTTCTCCCTGTGCAACAAACATTCAGGCAGTGGAAAAAGGGAAATGTTTTAGCAGGATTGTACACTTTTAACACAAGAGAATTTCACCCAGATCCTTGCCAGAGACCCACAATTTTCTTTCTGGACAGTATATCTTCTAGTAAGCATGGAATTAAGAGTTTTTACAAGAAATCTTATGAAAATTGCACAATTTACATGGGTTCACCAAGGAAACTTGAGGAAATCAGAGTCTCCACTAAGAAGCTAGACCTCAATTATAAACAGGTACTAATCTGGATTTAATCTTTCCTTATATTTTTTTTGGTACAAAGGAGGCCCACAGCTTGGAATATCGGAGAAAAGGCTACAATTGCTGAGATTAGAATCTTAAACTTGCTGGATGTCACCTATAAAGGATAACTACATAAACTAATTGAATTAAGCTTTGATTCTTGCTAATACCCCTATGCTATCTTTTCTTGTACCAAGATGCAGGCACCAAGAAGGCATTGTTGCGACGTGTTACGTTCAACATCCGGCAAACTGTTGGACATTGCAATAAGGGAATGCAGCGAAGATGAACTAATTCACATGTATGCATAGATGTTTAACTTCAAATAATGATTATGGCTAATACGACCAATAATGCTTGGTTAGATCAGGAAAAATTTCTAAGGAGGAATTTTACATCAGTGGCAGCTCTGGGAACAATTTTCTTCTCCTTGTAATGCTTGGTATATGGCTCTATCTATTGCCTTAAAGTGAGCCTTTTCAGCCCTTTACATCAATATATAGCAATTATTTGGATCTAAGTTTGATTCAATAATGAAAAATTGACAATCAAATACTCTTTGAACTTGAATTTTTAAGTTAGTCTTAGACTAGTAAAACAGGATATATGGTAAGACACCATTATGAAGATCATTTGATAGATTCAAACTCAAATCCCCTTAAGGATAAGTTCTATATTGTTGACCATGATAATTCTTTTCATTTCGAGTCTGTCATATTAACTCATTATGATTAAATTGGCAGTCTAATTCTCTCTCTCTCTCTCTCTCTCTCTCTCTCTCTCTCTCTCTATATATATATATATATATATATAAAATTAGCAGTCTCTTAGAACGAGCCGGCCAAGTTAAAGGTTTAAGCGTGTCTGTAGCAAAAATGTGTATGTTTCTAACAGGAAATTCTGGTTGCTGATTCTTAAGTCTTTGTTTGACTGTAAAATACGGTTGCTTTCTTTTACCAAACGAGTTTAACGTAAATAGAAAATTTATATGAATTTTTTAAGTAAAGTTTGTTAAGTTTTTTTTTTAAAATTAATTTAATAAAAATTTTAATAAGAAATTCAAATTGATAAATTTATAAAATTTAATGTAAAGATCAATAATATGTTAAAAAATATTTAAATGTTTATAATTTAAATTTGATTAATACTTATTTAATAGTAAAAATTTTATCAATATTTTTATTAAAAATATCTATTTAAAAGTATATATTTATTGAATTTTTTTCAAATTTTGCATATTTTATCTATATAACGAGATATTTCAATTTATTGGTTTTGATTTTAGATTTTAATTAAAACTTACATGAAATTTTTTAGGTGAAGTTTGTAAAGTTCTTTTTGAAAATTGATTTAATAAAACTTTAATAAAAAATATAAACCAATAGATTTATAAAGTTTAATATAAAGATCAATAATATGTTAAAAAATTAAAAATATTGTTTATAATTTAAATTTAATCAATATTTATTCAACAGTAAACATTTTATTAATATTTTTACTAAAAATGTCTATCTAAAAAATATATAAAATTTTTTAAATTTTTTAAATTTTGCATACTTAATCTATATAATAAGATATCTCAATCTATTGATTTTGATTTTCGATTTTAATTTTTACTTATTCATTTTTAATAAAAAATTTCACAAATTTTACATAAAAAACTTCATCTAAGCATTTCTCTTTCACACAATACTATGTGGATGCTACTAAGTTGCCACAAGTCAAAAATTTTTTGGTTTTGTCATTCTTTTTTAATGTTTTTTTTTAACAAAATTTGCCTATTTAAGAAAACCAAATAAAAGTGAAACTTTGATATCTCAGTGGACCTCATATTCTAACAAAATTTATTTAATAAAAAAACTTTAAATTGAAAAAATTAAATAAAGACAAAAAGAAAAAAAAAAATATCAAAAATAAAAAAAAGGTTCATAGTGGGTGTCATGTGGACATCTTATTGAGTTTAAAATATTAATTTTTTAAATTAATGTATATCAAATAATAACTTTATTAATATGATACATATAAATATAAAATTAAATTAATAATAAAATATATACTTTTATATATATATCACAAATGAGTCAAGACAAATTATCCTAAATATATTTTCGCCTTAATCTCATTTCTCATAAAAAAACTCAACCCATTCTAACTCGATTCGAATTTAAAAAAATCGACTCTTATAATATTAAGATAGATTAAAACCAATCGTATATGAATTATTTGATATCTATATCAATTGAAACATTTTATTACAAAATTTATTTATTGAAAAAATATTCAAAAAAAAAGAAAGAGAAAAAAGTCAAATAGTAGTATTACGTGAATATTTAAATTGATCTCATATTATCACAAAATATATCTAATAAAAAAATCTAAAATAAAAGAAATTATAAAAAGTAAAAGAGAACTAAAATGAAAAAAAAAAAGGAGTTAATAGAAAATGTGACATGGACATCTTATTGAATTTAAAATATTAATTTATTAATTTAAAGTATTAAATAATAATTTTATTAATATAATACATATATAAATATAAAATTAAATTAATAATAAAATATATACTTTTATATATAACTCAAAATGAGTTGGGATAAAATATTTTAAATACGCTTTCGCCCTAATGTTGTATTTTATTAAAAAAAAAAAACTTAACATGTCCCAACTTGATCTAATTTAAAAAAATTGTCCCCTATTGAACTAGGATGCATTAAAACCCATTGAATACAAATTATTTTGACATCTTTATCAATTGATATTTTTTATTACAAATTTATCTAATTAAAAATATAAAAGAAAAGTGAAGGAGAAAAAAAAAGCAAATAGGATACTATGTGGACATCTCCATTGGCTTCATTTTTTTTAACCAAATTAATTTAATAAAAATTACATAAAAAAAAAGAAAAAAAAAGGAAAAAGAAAAAAAGAGAGTTTATTGGCATATTATATTGACATCTAATTGAGTTTAAAATATTACTTTTTAAAATTAAGCTATTAAATAATAACGTGATTAATTTAAAAATTAAAATAAGAAAAAGAAAATAAATTGCCATGCACAGACATTAATTTATATTTGTTCAAAAAAATGATCTTATTTTAAAAAAACAAACAAAAAAGAAAAAAAAACTAAAAAAGAAAAAACAAGATGAAAAGCAAAGATAAAAAGTAAAAAATGAAAGAAAGTTGAATTGTCACGTGACATTAGTAATGATGAATATTTTGAAAAACTGATACTATGGATTTTAAAAAATAAAAACTTAAAAAAAAAGAAAGGTCAGAAAAAAAATGGATATGACATCAATACTTCTACTAATATTCTTTTTTTAAAAGGTTATGAAATTTAAAAAAATAACAAAATAACAAAAAAAATATAATTTAAATAATAATATCAAATAGACACATATTAAAGAAAATTTGTCAAATATTTGAAAAATATTTATTAAATATTAAAAACCTTAAAAAAAATAAAAAGCCAAAAAAAGAATAATATGACTTGACATATGACATATTTTTTATATTAAGTGGATCTCATAAAAAATTAAAATCTAGAAGATTATTCATTAAATATATTAAAAAGAAATATAAAAATACAAAAAAAAAAAACATGTAACATACCATTGATATCAAGTGAATTATACATAAACAAAATAAAATGTAAAAAAAATTATTAAATATATTTTTAAAATAAAAAAGAAAAAAAAGGATAAAAAGCAAAAAAGATAAATCGATATAAGTAAGTGCCATACGTAAAAATAAAATATTTAAAAATATTTTTTTTATAATTCTAAAAACTATTTCTTAAATGTTAAATATATTTTTAAAATTAAAAGAAGAAAAAAAAGGATAAAAAGCAAAAAAGATAAATCGATATAAATAAGTGCCATACGTAAAAATAAAAATATAAAAATATATATTTTTTATAATTCTAAAAACTATTTGTTAAATGTTAAAAAAGAAAAAGTAAAAAAAAAAAAACAGATAAGCAAATTAAAAAAGAAAAACAACAAAAATGAGTGCAACATATGGCAAGCCTTAGATGCTCTTGATAGGAGTAAATTTTATGTTATGGATTACATGATTCTTAGTTTAAAATAAAATTTATTTGAGTAAAAATAGAGTTTGTTCATCTTTTGATTATCTCAAGTTTAATTCTGTCGAGAAGTTGTGATAATATAATTCATTATAACTTTATTATAAATTTGTTAAGTTTGATATAAATAAACTTGGAAGAACAAATTTTGAGAGATTTGATATAAATAAATTTATTTGAATAAATTTAAGAAAAAATGTAATAGACGAAATTTAAAAACTATTTACTAGAAAAAAAAAAAAGAAACTTCTTGAACCGAAAGCATATGAAAATAGTAAAGTAAAAAATATATATATAGATTATTATTCATCTCATTATTAGGGCTATTATTAAGGCTAAATGTTCAATTAAGAATCTAACGTTTGCATGTTTTCTTAATTAAGGATCTCAACGTTTTCAAATTTGTTCAAATAATGACTAAGTTACGACTATGACTTACATGTGCTATTAAGTCTACTTTCTGTTAGCATTTTTCATTAAAGCCATTAACTCCAATAAAAAAAAAACACAGAAATTAAGCATAATAGTAATTGATAATCAATATGAAGGCAGAGAACAAAATTAAGCACAACAATTAGTTTTGAACAATCAAATAAAAGAGGTCGAATAATAGTAATTCACAATCAAAGACCATTGAAAAGTAAGAAATTTGGGTAGTTTTTGAATTTTTGAAAGGGTAAAAAAAGTACATAGTAAAATCATTGTTTTGTGGAGCTTTTTGGGCTAAGGAAAATTTTTTTGTTAAGCAATCAACAAAGCAAATTCATTAGCAAGATCAGCAATAAGCAACTAGCCTCAATTGAGCAATTGATTAAACACGGGGGTTTCAATACATAAAAACAGCCATAGTAGTAAAATTCAAGAATTCATCAGTAAGGATTTTTTTTTTTTTTGGTTTGATATTTTTTGAAAATTTTTGGATTTTAAGACAATTAGAAAAGGGAATAGGTGCTGATCGATTGGCAGCACTGTGAACGACATATGGCTTCGGACTCTGGGGGTGAGATTTCGTGATTCTTGAACTCTTTATTTTTTGGGTTGCAGTTGGGTTTTAATATGGGGATTTAGGGAGAGAAGAACGCAGAAAAGAGGTTGAACCAAAGATTTTGGTTTTAGTCACGAAGAAATTATGCTGTTGGTGAAGGACGAAAACCGATGATGGTCATTGGCAATAAAATTGATGAAGGAAAAGGTTGATTTCTGAGTGTTTATTCTTTGATTAGAAAAAAGTTAGAGAAGGTAGAGTTTGCTTGAGAAGAAAAGTTGAAGAATGCAGAATTTTTTACTATTTTTATTGTTCATTATGTTGTAGCAAAGTGATTTATGCTATTTTTTTATATATGTAAGTTATAGTCATAATAGAAGTCTTTATTTGAACAAATTCAAAAATGTTATATCTTATATTGTACCAAATTAAAATTGAGATCTTTAATCATGCAAATGTTAGATTTTTAATTTAGTA